TCTTTCCTGCCAACTAAGAAGGACTAGAAATACAAAAGCAAATACAGAGATTATCAGCCTGTCCTTCCTCACAACTCACTGCAGCTCTCAAACATGTATTCCCCTATCATCCCACGAGGGTAAGGAGACACCATATCCCTGCTGAGCCTAGGAAGAAACTTGATGACCTGGGACAACCTGAGAGTACAGGCATCCGATGCAAAGGGACATCACATCTCATGGCTCTTGAAATAAACAGAACAAAAATGCCAAAACACCTCCAAGCCCCAAGCTGCCACCTCTTTGATATGTTCTGTGGCTGCTATCCTGCCTGCAAACACTGCAGTTACAATGCAGGTGGGCAATTCATCAGCCAGCTGCATCCTCCCAAGTGCCACTATTTCCTTTTGTCCTGCAATGAGGACAATTTGCCAGCTCTTTCATCTCTCTGACAAGAACACAGGACCCTCACAGCTCCTGGCTACTTGTTGGCCCTCAATGAGACCTGCCTGCATTTGAAGGCACTGGTGTGAACTGAACACAAGGACTGTGAGGAAGACATGCTGCTGCATTGATGTCTGAAGATGTAAAACTCAGGCAACCTCTTCTGACCCTATTGCCCACTCCTCCCTCCTCGAGGTAACTCAGTCCCTCCTCATGAACACTTTCCATCAGTCCAACTGCTCCTACTGGTGACAGCTTCTGTCCTTAAGCACCTAGCTCATTTGGGATTACAGGCACAGGATATGTTTGTTGCATCCCTGTCTGTAAGCTCTTTATGGAACCCTGGCAGCATGAGGATGCAGCACACAGAGGTGGCAGGGGACTGGGGAAGGATATTGGAGTGCTGACTCCAATATGTCCTGAGAGGACAATGACAACTCAGGGTTCATCCACTGCAGCTGCTCCCTTTTAAATGCTTGTTTTGAATATCTACAGAAGAGGAGAAATCATTATGTTGGGATTTTTTTTCCAGAAGGTTTTCTTCCAGAGGTCAACCTGACAGCACTCAGACTGCTTTCAGCCCTCTGTATATACCGAGCTGGGTGAGGCACTGCACGTTTGTGTGTACACATATCTGACCCACCTCAATACTGCCCTGCAGAAGGCTAAAGGAGGAGGCACAAAAGTCAGAGGCTGATGAAGACACTGCTTAATACTGTATTGATTTTTCTGACCTGCCACTGACAGCTCTAAACCGAAGTCCAAAGCTGTCAGACAATACCAAATCTCAGCCCAGTGTTGATGACTTGTTACACTGCTGACCCGGGCTGGACCCACAGCACAAGTGAGCCTGAGAGGCTTAATGCCTCCCCTCAAAGGGTTTATCATCCAACACTTCCCTACTAGAAGGCAACCTGAGGCACTAGCCAGAAATCCCAGGGGTCATGCAATAAATCTGCCTTTCCTGGGCATTCACCTTCACCTCAGACACTGGCTGCAAGAAAATCATGGCTTGGCAAACTTCATCTCATAACTGAGATCACAGAATCAATTAGGTTGGAAAACACATCCAAGATCATCAAGTCCAACTGTTAATGTAGCACTGCCAAGTCCACCACTAAAACATGTCCCCAAATGCAACATCTACATGCTTCTTAAATACCTCCAGGGATGGTGACTTAACCATTTCCCTGGGCAGCCTTTTCCGGTGCTTCAGAATCTTTTTGGTGAAGAAATTTTTCCCCATTTCATATCAACCCATTCCCTGGCACACTTGAGGCCATTTCCTCTTATCACTTGGGAGATCAACCCCCATCTCACCATGACCTCCTTTCAGGTAGTTGTAGAAAGCAACAAGATCTCTCCTGAGCCTCCTTTTCTCCAGCCTGATCAGATCCCACTCTAGTGCTTTCTTCCCTCAAGTAGATCAACACTCCTGCCCAGCTTGGTGTTGTCTGCAGTCTGACTGGGGGAGCACTCCATTCCCTCGTCCAGAGCACTGGTGAAGATCCTAAAGACTTGCCCCAGTACTGCGCCCTGTGGAACACCACTGATAAGTGGCCACCAGCTGGATGCGATTCCATTCACCAGCATGCTTTGGGGTTGATCATCCAGGTTTTTTACCCAGCAAAGTGAACACCACCCAAGGCACAAGCAGCAGTTATTTGGCTTCTTGGTCTTCTCCTTGATTGTGACCCATAAAAGCCCAACCCTTTTGTCACCATCATTAAAATAATTTAAACCTCTTTCCACAAGTCTGATTAACTCCTGTGGAAAGATCCTTTCCCTCTTTTGAATCAGGTGTCTACTGTGTCTATCACCAGCAGGCCTGATATTATGTAAATTGATCCATGATCAAAATCCAAACATTCTGCCAGTGACAGCAGGCTTGTATTGATCTGCTGGCTTTTCCCAATTCTTCCCTCATCATTCCCTGCAACTGGAAGGATAGATGAGGACACCACTTGTGCTCCTGGTCCCTTAACCAGCTCTCCCAAGGCCCCAAAGTCTCTCTTGACTGCCCTTGGGTTTGTAACTTGATCATTGCCTACCTGAAAAATCAAGAATGGAAGAAAATCCAAGAGCCATATCAGAGTAGGAAGCTTTCTCTCCACATCTTTAACCTGGGCCCCAGCAAGGCTGTAGACTTCCCTAAAAAGTGTGTCCAGCCTGCATATGGGGTCTTTCATGTTTTGTTCTCTCAGAAGGGAGTGTCCTATGAGAATGACCAAGCCTTTCATGGAGAAGCAGTTTTGACAGAGGGTGGCAGCTGATTTAACCTCACTGGCACCTCCAAACTAGATGAACCATCATCCCTCATTATTGCTTGGCCCCACTTGCAGAGTCTTGCTCCTGTTGTGCAAGGGCATCTTGAGATACTGCACAGCTGAAGCAGGACTTAGCCAGGATGGATTCCCAACAGAATCCTGTTTTCCTCATCTTAGGAAGGGGAGTCAAAAATGTGAGACAGCTTGTTTTGCTCCTTCTCATCTGTCTGAACTGCACATTCCCTTGTACAGCTCTCTGTTCTTCCTTGCCTTTCCAGGCTGTGCACACAGAGTGACGTTCCTGATCTCCAGGCTACGTTTAACATCACTTTACCACAGTCCTCAAGGGGAAAGCTGAGCACCTGCTCTGCTGAGCCCTGCGGTTTGGAGTAGATGCAAGCGAGTTTACTTTGCTAAGCAGTCCCAGAGGTTTGTTATACCCTCAGCCCCATGATGTTGGGGTTTGGAAGGAAGACAGACTCTGCTGGAGGGGCAGGGGTACCAGCTCCTCCCCAGCCTTTGAGGTAGAAAAGCACTAGCCACGAGGATATCTTCTCCCCCATAAGAGGGTGGCAGCAACTCTCCAACAGGCTAAGATACAGATCCTTCAAGCTCCCACCCTTGCCCTTAGGCTGACATGAACTCCCCCTGCTCTCTAAATCACCAATGAGCATTGCTCATGAGGTTTTTCCACTTTCTCCCCCAGCTGTGGAGTCCTCTGTAAGCACAAGGCATTTTGTAAAGGCACTGATGGATGCTGATTGTCATGGATGAGAGGGTGACTGTGTATGAAGAGAACCCCAGCAAAGTTCAGTGGCTTGGAAGAGTTTTCCTCAAGGGGACAGACTAGTACAAGTACAGGATTGTCCCTGTCAGACAGCTCATTTTCCTTACCCCAGTCCAAACGAGTGAGAGAGTGCTGTCTGCCTGCATTAAGGTGGTTGTGCTGTTGATAATTTGCAAACAGGCAGAGTTCACTTGAGGAAAAATGCAAAGCAGGGCAGGAGTGGAGAGACTCTTAAAAACACTTTCATCTTTTATTAAGCAAAGTTATAAGACCTCTTGGGGAAAACCTATACCTAGTTAAAAGTTTAGCAAGTCCAAGGAGATAGTCAAGGCTACAGAAACCAATTGGTGGGAGCTTGAGACTTATTCACTAGCTAATTCATAATGTTTCTGAGAGAAGAACATGACCCAGAGCTGCACAGAGTGTCTAAGGCACTACTTCTGGGAGGATCAAGTGAAAAGTTCTCAAGTTGTTGGTGATAGCAGCCATTGCTCCTTCAGGAAAAAAAGACAAAAAAGCTGTCCAGCTATTTTGAAAGAGACAATTGCAAGAAAAAAAGCCTTCTGCCTGAATCAATCTTGCAATTACCAAGGCTGGTCAGCCTGAGTTCCCATGGTAAGCATTCCATTCCAGGAAGCTTAAGGCAAATGGTAATGGCAGTTTTGATGGAGGGGTGCTGAGAAAGACAGAAAGAGCAGGATGGGAGAGGCAAGCAAGAAGCTAGGGAAGCACATCCCACACACACAGGGCAAGCTAAGGCTGAAAAAGACACAGAGGTTTGGGCAGCTGTGCTCAGGGAAACATGTTCCTTGTCAACAAAGGACAGACTCTCTTCCATATAAACTACTTATTGAAAGAAGTCCTGCACTCCTGGGCCCGTTGTTCAGGTCTGGAGGTAACATTGGCTCTGGAAAGGTTTGGGAAATGCTGGTCGCCTGCAGCAAAGAAAACCCCAGCAAGAAGGCTGGTAATGTAACTCAGCTGAAGGGAAAAAAACTGCCACTCATAGAACCAAAGAGTCACTTAGGTTGGAAAAGACCTTTAAGACCATTAAGGTCAGCTGCTTACCCAGCTCTGCCAAATTCACCACAGCTACACATCTTTTAAATCTGCTCAGCACCTCCAGCCCCAAGCCCAGGGCACACAAGATCACAAATGCATCTCAACAAATACAGAGGAATAGTTGGAGGCTTTCACTCTGGTCCCCGGTAGCCCCAGAATCCACCTCTAAACCCCTCCAAGGCCAGCAGCAAAGATGCACACAAAGGATCAGCTCCCCACCCCACTAAAACAGTCCCAGCACAGCAGTCCCATGGCCTGGTTACACACACACACTGCTGGGAAGAGAAAAGCCAACCCAATTTGCTCTGCTGCTTGAGCACCCATCCCTGAGTAATGGAGAAATGACCATCCCTTGTGCAATGGAGCCTTTCAGTGCCAGCAGGAGCTGGAGGCAGACGCAGCACAGGGGACAGAGATTGCCAGCCCCAGCCCCCGCAGCACAGGCAAACACACAAACTTACCTTTCACTCCTTCCTTCACTAACTGTCTTATCGCCATAGCAACTGTAATCCTAGGTCATGCAGCTAGGAAAAAAGAATAAATATAGCACAAATGAAGATATACACTATCACCAAACACAGCCTCAGTGGTAGAATCTAATTTTCATTAGAGGCATAACAGTGCTTTTGCATAATTATACACATATTAATGCCCAACATGCCCATCTTCAGTGGGAGTTCATTAATTCAGTTCTAAATAAAAAGGGTTGCTCATTGCAGGTTAATTTCTTCTTCTTTTTTTTTTTTTAATGCAGAAAATATTTCTAAAAGCTCAAATCATACTTTCACAGCTTTTCCTTAATCCTGAGATTAACAGAGAAAGGAAAACATGAAGATTAAGTTAGCTCTGAAGTAAAAACATGGCAAAACACATAACAGCAAACTTTGCTCCTTTTGAAATGTGAGGAGTGAGAGCAAGCAATAAAAAAATTTGACAAGATGCTGCACTGTACCTGGAATTGAGTCCCAAAGGAAAGCATCTAACAGCGTTTGGTGCTTGTGGTGAAAGCAATACAGCAGCCTCATACTGAGAAGAACACACTGCGAGCGACCAAACACAGGTTTGGCTGGCACCAGAATTTACTACACAGCTTGAGGTCAGCATTTACAAGAGGAGGTTTATTTACTCTGATAGCACAGATACAAGACAGCAGCACCAAGGGATGGCCCCAGCCAAGCACACTGTAAAAGCAGAGAAACCCTTCCTCTGCATCTTTCTTTTTTAATTTACTCCTCAGGCTCCTTCATTACCTACTAAACACAAACACCCTGAGGCTGGTATCTCAGACCCCTCTTTATTGCTGATTCCAGGTGGGCCTCGTCTGAGTGATGGGGAGCCCTTGGTGCTGGTCAGACCCCACCTTTCCTGTGTGTGGGGCAGTGCCCGGGGGGAGGTTACTGGCATTTCAGGTAGCAGGTGCCTGGGTATGGAGGTGCTCTGTGACTACACAGTGAGCTCTTTTATTCCAAGCATGCATGTGGCTCTAAGGATGCTCCCGCAGTCCTGACCTGGTGCATGCTGGACTAAATAATAAAATAAAAGCAGCATCCTAAGGAGATGTCTCTTCACTAACTTCATCAGCATCCTATCCAGGCAGGCAAGGGATGCTATTGCATTTGGTTTTGTCTCCATAGAGGCTTATTTAATTCCTCACTTACTGAAAAGGCAAGGAGAACTAGGACAAAGGGAAGACAAGGGCTGGGCTGGAGGAAAGGGTTTGGAGGAAGGAAAAAGAGGGAGGTGCAGAATAAATGGAAAGACAGAAGAAGAAATGGAGAGAGGTCTATCCTAAACAGCAACAAAAATCTCTCATGACTGTCAATCTCTAGTTCCTCTCCTCCTTGTGCTGTCATTAGTACACAGCTCAAAGCTCAGCCAGTGTGAGGGAGAAACCTCCCTTCTCACCCAAGCTTCTGCAGGAGGGAGAGGGAACTCGCTGCCTAGCTGTCCAAACCTGCGTCTGCCCTGTTCTTCCCTGTGCTGTAGTGAGCCCTCCCGGACATGGACTTTTGGGATGTGCAGCAGGTCCAAATGTGGCCCCTTCACTCCACACTGCAAGTGTGTCCTGCCCCTGTCCTGGAGACACCTGAGCCCTGGAAGCCCACCTGTACATGATGAAAAGAGAAATAGCAGCTTGCTTCAGATGCTCTGGGTCAAAACCAGATTTTTTTTTTTTTTAACAATGAACATACATCTCTAACACACTTGTGCCTACTGTGTCTGTCCTTCCCTCTTGAGTGCCAGCCTAGACAGAAGAGAAGCTTTTTAGAGTGGTCAGATGGGGCCTGGCAGAGGGTTCTGCTGGGCATGAGCTGTGAGCTCAGTGGAGGAAAGAATCCACCTTCCCTCTGTGAAGCTGTGCTGTATGTATGTGGGGGCTGTTTGCCCAGGATTGCCACTGACTGCAAAGGCTACCCAGCCTTCTGCCTGACCAGAGAGCAGTGGCAGTGTTAAAACCTCCATAAAAACAGGATAAATGTTCAAATGTCTCTGATAAAGTTTACCTGTGGGAGCAGGACAGGTACTGAGATATGGTGGGTAATCCAGAGAAAAGATTCAAGATCTTATCTGAACTGGTGAAGAGAGTAAAACCAGCCACTCTTCTGATTTGTCTGCAGTTACTACCTCTGGGTGCCAAAAATAGTAGGTAGGCCCTGGGATGGGGAAAGGAGACAGACAGGGACTTGCTCCATCCCTAGAATTATTTAAAGCTAGATTGGAGAGGGTTTTGAGCAACCTGGTCTAAGTGGAAGGTGACCCCACCCCTGTAGGAAGGAATTGGGACACATTCAAAGAAGAGCTGAAATATGAACTAGGAAACTTGTAGAAACAAGCTTGTAGAGTCCCAGAAATGTTGTTATCCCCTGCTTCCCTCCCAGTGGCTCCTGCAGTTTGGATGCAAGTTTGGTCTCTCCCTAGATTTCCTTTCCCGCAGATATCCCTGCACATACAAATCCCTTGAAATGGGAAACCAAGCCCCAGAGTCCCTCCCCACTCCACCTCTCTGGGGTTTTTACCCGTGTTACCTGCTGTGACTCCATAGTGCTGTGGCAGCAGCAGGGAGAAGTACAGCTCTGCTCAGAAACCTGGCAGGGTGGTCCCCTCCCTGCAAACGTGGCCACTGAGCCACACCGAGGAAAAGCAAAGCAGTGAGGATTCAAGGGACACAGTCCCTGTTCGCCTTTGGAGGGACATTTAAGCCAGCTGAAGAGGCAGAGGGGATGTGTGAGCATATCCAGCAGGATGAGCTTTATGATTTAGGCAAACAGTGTAAATGCTTAAGTACTTACATCTAATACTGCTCCTGGCACTCTCACAATGGACTCCCATGCCCAGCCGTGCAGAGCAGTCTCAGATGCAGTCTCACAGCAGAGAACTATGGAATTCCATCCTTCTGCCTAGAGGCACACCTGGAAATCTTGCACGTGCAGCGTGGCCTTCTCCTCCTGCCCTGCCTCCCCGCAGCGGGGGACAGGCAAGTGATGCTCAGCCTGTCTGACAGTGGCTGGGGATCTCTGTGCCATGGGCATGGCACCTTGAAAGGTGGTAGCACGGGGTAGAAACATGAGGCAGGGGAGCAGGTGATTTGTTGCAATGTTTTGCTCAAGTCAAACAGCAATTCCTGACCAGACAGAGAAATGGAAGGTGTGGCAAACCTTCTCTTCCTGGCCCAGTGCTGAGCTGATGCTGATGCATGCTCATACGAGGGTAGGGGCTCTCTTACCCTCATGGGCTGTCACATGTTCCCACAGCAGCAGCAAGGCAATCACATTCCTCCTTCTCTCTCATGCACACTGATTAAAATCATGCTCATCACAAGTGCCTCAGCTTGAGCACCCAGCCCTTTAATTGCTGCAATGAAGGATATGAATGTAGGCTATTCTGAGGCCAGCAAAGCAGAAAATTAGCATTTAGCATGAAAATGATACCACTGCATCATCACCAGTGCAAAGCAAACAACACAACCAGCCAGGCTGCCTCTTTCCTTCCCTACCTGCATGCTTGGACTCATCCAGTGCTGCAACAGCCCCATTGCTTTCCACACACGTGGGACCTGTCCCTCTGAAGCTGCCACCAAGACTCAGGCAAGGGCTGCAAGGTGGCATCTGCTTGCTGACTGAGGTTTTGATGAAGCAGGTTTATAAGCACCTGGTGTAATAATCCTCCCTCAGATGTCAAAATGCCACAGCAGCTGCTGCATTGATTCCTGCAGTATTTACAGAGCAGAAAAATGCAGCAGCAAGCAGGGGTGAGGCTGGAGGGAAGAAACCTGCACCCCTGGTGTGTCCTGTCCCTCAAGGTCAATCAGCCATAGCAAGCCAGGAGTTAGATCTTCTTTTCCAGACCCTTAGCTCTCTCCATCATTACTGCAAATTCTCCTCAGGCCCTTTCACCCATTTGTTACCTAGGCTGGTTGGACAAAAAAAATCATTAAAATGCTGTGTCCACAGAAGCCTAAAAGAAAAGGCTGGTTTTTTACCAGTCAGGCTGGGATGGAGCCGTCATCTGGTAGACAATAACTAACCTTCCAAATCTGCCGCACTGCCCCACCCCAGCCAGGGCTCTGCACACTGGTGGTTTCTACAGCAGGGAGAGCTGCCATTTCCCTGCCTCCCAGTGTAGGTGCCTGAACATCCTTTCCCAGAAGGGAGAGTATTTCAACATATTTTGACACGGGTCTGTGGCCTCTTTGGGTTCCTGAGCAAATCAATGATGCTGAAGTGCTAGAGTTTCAGTTCTGATTAACAGATGGAATAGCAATTTATACAGCATAAGGAGGGTCCTGCTGGTCCCCAGCAGTGCAAGTGCACACACACAAACACACAAGCGGTGGCTCCCACAGCCCCAGGTCCCCTCATGCCCCAGCAGGTGACCAGCTCAGCTCCCTGCCAGCCCAGTCCCCCCTTTCCCCTGCCCACAGAGGCAGGCTGGGCTAGCACAGGTGGCAGCCCAGCTGTGCCCAGCCCCTCAGGCTGTTTTGAGGCTGCCCCTTGTCCCAGGCCTACAGTACATGGCTGGACACGGGGCTCACTGCCCTGGGGAAGCAGAGACCTTTGCAACTCATCACAGACAGTGCTGCCCAGACATTGCCTGTCTCAGAGCTGTGGGCTCTGCTGGTGAGCAGTGTCCCGAGTCAGCAGTTTGGGCTGCTTTCATATATCCTTGAAAAAAGAGACCAGCGGGAGATCTGTTTATAAGCCACAACCACCCTGAAACAAGTATATGCCTACGCCTACGCACATACACAAAGCAGCAGTGACTATGGAAGCATATGAATAAATATTGAGCAGACACCAAGGGATTTTCAGAATAGTCTCTCTTTTTTTTTTTTTTATTCAATGCCATGTTGTTTGTCGTTGGCTGTTTTTTTTTTTTTTTTTACCTTCCTGATTTATTTCCTGTGCCTGGGCTTACAAAACTAATCAGTGGCCAATGAAGACTAACAGTCACATGTGTTATTAATTCTACATTCAGGGTAAGGTAATTCCAAAGAAATTACCAAAAAATATTAGTGTACAGGGAGGATGGGGTAGTTGTATGTATGTAGAGGGATTATACACATAAAAACAGATCTTTTATCCACACCACCCAATTTACACTGCACTCAGCTCTTCTTCTTAGAAATATCTATTATTAACTAGAATATGTGTGTAGATCATCTTGAAATGAACTCTTCATATGATTCAGATAAGGAGGCGAGAAAAGAAGTGTGTAAGTGAAAAAAGAAATTAACAGTGTTGGGGAAGTAATTGAAAGGAGAAATGGGATCACCCACTTTCATTCTTATCCCAGTGATTATTAGATGCAGCAAGGATGACAGTGGTAGTTTTAGAGGAAGGTCTACCTGGTGCTTTATTTCCAAAGCTGTGATAGTTCAAAAGCAAGTCTTATACTAAGGACTTGAGGGGTAATAAAAATGTTTGCCTGTGCATGGACCACGTACCTTGAGTACTTGCATGATGCTTCTCCTCCTTGTGTGTGGGTGGCTCTTTCCTAAACAGGCACTTTTCAGTTTAAGAGCAAATCTTGAATTAAAGATGTTTCACTAAAAAATAGTTTCTCCTCCGACTGGCATCCACAGAGCCCATGGTATCACTGATCATTTGTTTTGAAGCAGCATCTTAGACTCTCTGAATGTTTCTGAGTGAAGAAAGAGTGACTGCCCTGCCTGCTTGTGCTGAGTGGTTTCTTTTTGAAGATACTCTGCCAAACTCTGTGAAGGAACAGTGCTATTCCCTTAGCAGCATAAGAAATAGAAGAACAGAAAGAAAGTTGTGGCAGCAGAACTATGAAAAATCCATCTCACTGTGGTCAGCACAAGCAGGTAACATACAGTTCAAAAATGTCATCCAGTATGAGTCAGCTGAAGGAAAGAAAGGGGAAGGGCTGCAGGAAGAGATGCTCTGTTTGCATGGTGCACTAAGTGCACTGACACTGCCCCAGCAACCAGAAGCAGAACAGAACAAAACAACAAAACACAGCTGCAGCATCTTTCAAAGTTCTCCAAAATAATGCAGATAGTTAAAGCAGCATTAGACAGAAGGTTAATGTGCTCTGGTCTCTGAAAACGTCCTTGGAAAAACAGTACCTCTCCCTCTGCTATCATTCTGCTCTGTGGACCATGAGACAAAGGGAGAGTCGTATCTGTCAACTTTGGTGACTACAGACAAAACCACTAAGGAAAAAGATTTGTATTCCTCTGTGTCTACAGCACTGCACAGCAAAGGGGGAGTGTGAGCTGGAGCCTGCTGTGCTTTTCATGGCAACAGCCCAGCTGCTCATGGGAGCAACTGCAGGAGGTATGGAGTCCTCCCTGCTCTTACTGATGTCTTGGGCATGAAAGATGCTCAGCAGCGCTGCTGACATGCAAAGCAAGGCTGAGAATGAACCCTGGCGTTTGGCTCATCTTTGCAATCCCATGGCTGGCATAAGGGGAA